TAGGGCTGGGTCCTGGCTCCCATCAGGCTGAGCAGACACATCAGCAGGCCCTCCCTCCCTCAGCATCTGTACCAGGAGATGGGGGTTGGGGGGATCAGGTGTGCCTCTCCGACAGTCCTCTGTGTACTGCAGAGCGGGGAGAGATGAGTGGAGAAGCAGAAGAGGTGCTTTGCATCGAGACCAGGAGGCGGCCGGGCAGCTCTGTTTGAACCGGATGCCACTGATGGGCACGTGTGGGGAAAAGACTGCTCTAGTTCACCTTCCACACGGCTCGGCACAGATGTGGCCTCGGTCTTGCTTGACCCACGTGTGTCTCTGCAGCACCGGTGACTGTCACCCTGCACTCCGGGGGCCGAGTACTTTTGCCAGCAAACGATCGTCGTTCCTGAAAGCCAACGGTCACGCTGGTCCCTTCACTGCCAGGAGGCCACAGCAGCATTGCCACCTTCTGAACTATCTGTCTTTAAAGCACGCCCAGAGCCTCTCAGAAGAACCTGTGTGGTGAGTAAACCTGCTGTTAAGCATGAAGTACCTAAAGAGGAAGCCCTTTGACCAACCATCTCTGATAAACAAGTTATACTTCATAAAAGAGATGACATCAGGCATAAAAATCTGCATCATCTTTCACAACCGAAAAACCTCACAAGATTGTGTGACACACCTAAAAATCAAATTCTCACCAGCGATATCCGAAGATTGATTTTATTTTTTACAGACCAATACATTATAAATATTATAAACCTTCAAAAATGAACAAATTAATCATAATTTTCTTTAAAATGTACATACTGTCACTCAAAAATTTCACATTCTAGGATATCAGTAATTACATCCTCTTCAAAGAAAACAGCACACAAAATATTTCCTGTCATAAAATCTTTGTTGCCAAATCAGCCTTTAAACTGTCTGCAGCTTCCAGAATTTTCTTATACACAGCACGAGGAAGATGAGTGATTTTGAAAATGGAGCGAAGCAAACGCAAGGGCAGCTTTGAGGTGTTCCTGTCTGAGACGGCCACTGTGGGGCCTACAGAATGTGGAGGCTGAACAGGGGTGATCTTTATCAGACCATGTCGGTGAGGCAGACTTGTTCTGTCCAACTAAGAAGGTCAAAATTAAGAACAGCTCCTACGCACTTCCAAATGTTCAGGGACGCATCCAAAAGGATGTCTGAAAAACAGATGACCACGCCCTTAACCTGTAGCCCTACCTGCTGCTAAAAACTCTCAGTGGCTGTGCTTAGGTAAATATCCTTGGGCTATGGATAACCCATAAACAAAATCAAGTTTAAGCCAACAGAATTACGAGTATGATGGCAGAAGTCAACTTGCTGATTCCTGGGGGAAATGACAAGAGCAAGAAGATGGCAACAGAATAAGGCAATGTTACAGACAGGCTTTGGTAACGAACGAACTGTTAACAGAAGGCACCTGGCTACTGAAAAAAAGCCAAACTTCAGTGAAGTTTCCTGACCTAACCTAGTTTCCATGGACCAGTGTTTCAGCAGGTTTGCTGGCTTCATCTGAGTTTGAAAATGGAGTGAAAACCAACAAGAAACAGAGAACCAAATTCTCTCGTTCTCTCTCCCTCTCACCAGCAGGGCCTTCAGTTAGGTAACTAGTGTCTATCATCTATCAAGAGTTGCAAACTTAGATGTCTACAGGGGCCAAGGAAGTGATATGGATGAGGAAACTGGCTGGGACAGGACGAAAGGGAGTGTATGTCTATACTGCACTAGAGAGAGTAAGCCCTGTTTACTCTCCACCCCTGTGGACCAAACGAAACACATCTGTGCACAGTGTGCTCATCACAGGCTGTCAGCGTGCCACCCTGATTTAGATGGCTGGGTCCTTATCCATGAGGACACATGGCTGGATGGAAATGGATATGTCACCATCTCTGCTGACCACTATAACCAGGATCAAGTGGTCACATTTTAGACAATGACGCGCTTAAATCCAGCATTCTTACCTCTCCTCTGAGAGGAACAACACAATACTTTTAAGCTGATGTATTTCCCCACATTTGAAAAACGCAGAAATTTTCAAAGCTCATTTTACTTTGAAGGAACACAAATGGGGTTCAAAAGTAAGGGTTCTACATGATTCCAAAAGCAGTTAGATATGGCACGGGAGTCCTGATATTGAGACAACAGAAGACAGAAGTGGAGACGTACAAAGAACCCCATCCTGGGGTCTTGTGAGATGACTGAGATATTCAGCAACTGTGAGTAGCTTTGTCCCCAAGTGGAACTTTTTAAGTTTCTCTTGTTGGAGGAACAAAAACACTGAAAAGTCCCCAGAAAGTTTTAAGAGCTAAGAAAACACACACATACACACATACGTACACATGTGCACATGCCCAACAGAATTATCTAGTGCCTCTGGCTTGCGTCTCAGTCAATTACCTCATTGGCCAAACTGAGCTCTGCAGTGAAACTGAGCAAAGTTACTTGTGCAACAGCAAAGTTAAATGTAAACATAAATAGCAACGGGTTTTTCAAGAGGCTCAGTGTTACTATCGTATGTTGTCCAAATAATGCACTTCTGGATAGAGACGGTTAACAAGAAGGGCCAGGAAGCTCTTCCCATCTTGGAGACAATAGCCAGGCTGCTTTATAAACTGCACGGCTTGTGATATGTGATCCTGGTATTCAACATATTGCTTGCTTGATGTCAAGGATTCAAGTGCATTCAGAGCCTAAAAGACACGGAAAGAAAGGGTTAACCACCTAGACACATATAATGTGATTCCAGCAGGTGTAGCACACCGACTCTTACCATCTGGTACAACCACAGCCTCCTGAGGAAGCCTACGGGAATGGAACTGGAAGTCTCAAGGGCGGGCGCAGATTAACCACAGAAGGAAGCCAGCAGCCTGCTTGTGGGGCTTTCGCCACCTTCCACATCCAGCCTTCCTCTTCCTGACCTTTGCTACTTCCCAGCCCTTCCCCAGGGAGCCACTGCTATGGCCAGGCCGACCCGGCTGCCTTATCCTCCTGCCCCCAGTTCCAGCAGTGGGCACCTGCTGCCTCTCTTCCTGGAGCCCTAGCTGGAAACCACAGGCACCAGCTGCCTGTGAGGCCTGTTTGATTTACTGTTGGGTTTCCTCTTAGGTTACATGATAACGTCATATTAAACTGTCTGACTGAATAAAATCCAAAAGAAACCAGTGGCAAAGAGCTGCTGGGGGTAAGCAATAAGGTCGTTCTATCAGCCAACAAACAGAGATCAAGTTCCTCCAGCTTCTGCCCAACAGAAACGACAATGATGCTCCTATGCCTCTCTTCAAGAATAAATAAAACACTTTAATTCCATAATTTACAATTTTCCTTCCTTCACAGTGGGGGAAGAAAAGAGAAAAGACTGCACTGAGAAATCAAACCAAAAAATCGGGGGGCCGGCCAAGTGGCTCAGGTGGTTAAGAGCTTGCTCAAGAGTGCAACCTCTGAGCAATAGGGTCGCTGATTCGATTCCCACATGGGTCAGTGAGCTGCACCTGAGCTGAGCTGCTTTTGAGCTGCCAACAGGTGGCAGGATGGCTCAGCTGGTGAGAGCACGTGCTCCTAATAACAAGGTTGCCTGTTCGACATGGTGGGCAAGTAAAAACTGAATTAGGCACCTTGAGCTGAGCTGCCGCCTGGATGGCTCAGGGGATAGAGAGTGCACACTCTTAACGAGGCTGCCGGTTCAACTCCAGCATGGGATGGTAGCTATGCCCACCCGCAACTAAGATTGAACTCGGCACCTTGAGCTGAGCTGCTGCCCAGATGGCTCAGTGTATAGTGCGCTCTTAACAAGGCAAGGCTGCTGGTTCAACTCCCACATGGGATGGTGGCTATGCCCACCTGCAACTAATTGAACACAGCGCCTCGAGCTGAGCGCTGCGACTGGGCTTGGAGCTGAGCTAGCTGCGCCCTCCACAACTAAGACTGAAGGACAACTTGGCTGTTCCCCTCCCCGATTCCCCACTAAAATCTTAAGAAAACACAAATTGGAACAATGGTTCTTGGGGGTGGGGAGTGTTATTTACCAATTATCCAAGTCCACCTACCTCCAGAATTCTGAAATTGAACTGTGAAGTCCCCCAGTCCTTCCCCTGTCTTCTATGGTGACCACTGCTCTACACAATATAGATTACAAGATGGAATTTGCTTGGCTCAGTCAACAAGGAGGGGGGAGATTTTTTTAAAGATGCTAACTGAACTGGCAGTTTAAAAATAAATCACCAGGGGGTTGAAGACAGAAGTCTTAGAGATGAAAATAAACAATTAAAGGGATTTTCGTACCAGGTTAACTGCTGTGTGAACAGAGTTCAATCTAAGAACAGGAATCGATGGGGATAAGCACTCCCATTTACTGCAGTGTTCATATCTCTCTCTCTCCCGCTGTTCTTTATTAAATTTAACCCCTGAAACAGTCTACTGGGACAATTTGCCTAAGAGTAATTGTTTCATAAAAAGATGACCCTTTTCAAGTCTGAAAATCCTGATGACAAGTATGTATAGGTACTTTAAGTCTAAACAAACGCAGGCAGAGAGGTGAGGACTAGGACACCTGGTGGCCACAGTTAAAGCAGAAGCCATGCTCCAGGTACTGGTAGCCATAGGACAGAAGGCGACTTCTCAAATACACACTGAAATGCATCGTGCTGACGTCACAACTGGCCCTCGGGAGACTCATCTGCCTACTTGTGATGGTTCATATACGACACAGGGTTTCAAATAGCAGTTGTCTAGTCTGTCCGTGACAAACACTGGGCACTGTATAAACCGAGATGCCGGCGAAGAACCTGCTGATTGTACCACTTGACCTTTGCTTTTCATAACCAAGATATCGCCCTGCAGGTGGCTGGCTGAGACTTTACAATGCTGCAATAGAAGAAGAGCTGCGGGGCCTACGCGTTCACTATTTACTGAGACAGCACTGCAGAGTGGCAAGAGCACAAAGCCTGGGAACAGACTGGCCGGGTGAATCCCGGGTTCCAGCCCCAGCACCGATTAGCTGTTTAATGTGGGACAAGTCTTCGTCTCCATTTCCTCACCCATAAAACCAGAATAATAAAAGTGCCTTTGTCATGAGGATTAAATGAGTAAAAACTTGAACTCATCAACATCAAGCGAGTTAAAACTTGGAACGGTGCCTGGGCACGTAGTAAGCACTCAAGAACGCCAGCCATCATTTCATATTTGGTACACCTCTGTACCTGGGCAGACTGATTACAGGTGAAAACAGTTACAGGAATGGAACCACTACCATGTGGACTTCTGCATGTTTAGAATAAACTATAATCTCTCACAGCTACCATTTTGTTCACATTAGGTTATTCCAACATCAGCTAACAGCGGTCAACATCCAGACTCACAAGAACCATTTCCTTGGTTCCAAGTTAAAGCTCAGCTAATCTCCATCATTAGCAAGTGTGGCCTCACATCTTTTATGCCAGTCCCCAGTCCCCAGCCCCCAGCACATGGCATGTCAGCGCAGAGTCACGTTCATCAGAACCAAATTCGATCCCACACTGGCTTGCCTATGGCTTTGCTTCTACCATGGCAGCAATAGTGCTCTAGGCAAGTACCTTTACATGACATAGTTTAAAATCCGAGGCAGACCCATTTCCAGGAAGTGGAGCACTAAAGGACATGTTGTGCTACTGCAGATCACCGTGGCATCATGGTTAAGGGCTTCAGCTGCCACCTCCCCACCTCCCAGGGAGGGCCTGGTGAAAAACTGCTAACCCCTTCACTGTAAAGCTGTTTTTACTGACCTGCTGAGCTTTGGGGGTGAGATATAACTCAGAGCCAGGCTTCAAACGGATCTGGTCCTCGGCAGGCACCTGAACTGAAAGGAAGGCGGCCATGCTTCGGGCAACCACTCGGAACCTTAGGTGTTTGGGGGAGGTCAGAAGAAGGAAATGACTATTAAAGTAAATGTCACATTTTCTGTGAAAAAACAAGACTAACACATTCCCAGACGTAGTGTTGTTTTAGGCCTCTTCTGGAAAATCTTAAATACCATCACGTAGGAGCCTCAATCTTCCCTTCCGTTACTAACGCCCAGACAATGTGAGCATCATTCAGACTCATGAATGAAAGTGCTGGCAAAGGTGTAGAATAACTGGAACTCTCAGACATCGCTGGTGGGAACATAAAAACTGGTGTAGGCGCTGTGAAAAAGGTTGGCAGGTCTTCAGTAAGTGGAACCTAGAGTAACGATATGACCCACCAATTCCACTCCTGGGTATATACCCAAGAGAACTGAAGACAGGTGTTCTAATAAAAATTTGTACATGAATTTCATAGCAGTACTAGTCACAATAGTCAAAAGATAGAAAAACCCCAAATACCTATCAACTGATAAACAAAATATGGTATAGCCACACAATGGAATATTATTCAGTCATAAAAAGGAATGGCGCACTGATGCATACTAAAATATGGCTGAGCCCTGAAACTTGATGTTACGTGAGAGAAGCCAGACACGAGAGACCACATATTATATGATTCTGTTTATATGAGATATCCAGAATAGGTGACACAGTCAGAAAGTCAATTAGTGATTGCTAGAGACCTGGACGGGAAGGAGGCTGGGGAATGACTACTTAATATGGGGTTTCCTTTTGGGGTGATGAAAATATTCTGGAACTAGATAGTGGTGATGGTTGCAACAACACTGCGAATGCACTAAATGTTGCTAAATTGTATGTTTTAAAATGGTTACCATGATACATTTTATGTTATGTGTATTTTACCACAATCGAAATGAATCAGAATCACAGTCCTGACAAATTCGACCATAAACAAACAAACATGATGTAACTGGTTAGAATTAGGTGACTCCCAAAGTTGCATCAACAGGATGGGACATTCCACAATAATGCTGCCATCAGAATGGTATGAAAACTCTTTGCAACACTGGTAAGGGCTTTAAACAAAAAACATGATGCAAATAAATATTACAAGATAAAATCGGAGGCTAATGAAAAATTCTTTCAAGCCTTGGAATTTTTAGCAACAAAAACCTGGGCTTGTTTCTCATTGCTTGTCCTTCTTGTCAGTTCACTTTAACTCATCTTGACTTCACGGCTCTAGTGGCCTGAGTCCCTCCCAGCACCTGACTGCCCTGATAAAGCGCAGGCAGTGGGACAACTGGCTGGGGTATTTCAGTCTAAGCTTGCACACCATCACTGGCTCCAAGCCAAACAGAAATCAACAGTGTGGCCAGGTTACAAAGTCAAATTACAACAGGAGATACTGCTCAAAACACATACTTGGAACACAAAGTTGTTTTAAAATGAGAAAAAATAATTTTTAAAATGTAAAGATGTGATCAGGCCCTGATTGTTTTTTTCCTTAATCTTTGGGGGGAAACCTAGCTCCTGAGTCAAAAACCTACTGAAGTCTCACAACCCCTAGGCAGATGCAGACACTGAGGCCCATTTAGAAGAGCGGCAGCAGGTGCTTCCTTACCTGTTCGACAGGGGCGATTTCCGGCCAAACCCAATGGCCCCCAGAATCCCGGAGCTGAGCCTCTCCTCAGCCAGCAGGCTCTGCCTGCTCTGAAGCACGAGCAGAACTCGAACGACAGATTCTGTCAAGACCGAGTCATTCTGCTCCGTCTGAATCAGGGACAGCTGCAGGGCTTGGTGCCACCACAAAAACAGCTTTGCCTCTTCTTGCACAGACCTGGGGGGGGGAGGGGGGCGCCCAGGAGGAAAATAATATTAGAAGTGGGTTTTTTTCTACTCCCATTGAACTGAAAGTCCACTTTGAGTTTTAAGTACAAGGGGCATTGAGTACTTTTAATACTTAGGCTAACAGGCAACGATTCACTGAACTCTTTACGGCCAGATGCTGTGTGTTAGCTTCAGGTCCTTTCCCTTAATCCTCATAACAACCCTGGGAGGTAAATACTGTTACCACTACTGAACTGACAAGGTGTTTCAAAATGCCCGTTTTAGGAAATAAAAAACCTGCTCAGATAATTAGCCCATGCAAGTAAAAATCTTTCTAAAACAAGTGTCACTGCGCCTCACAGCCTTGTTTGTTCCTATGTATCACTTGGTTCTGTGCACTTAAATGAACACCAACTTCAACCCTACATTCCAAGCTTTCCAAACCCAATGGGTCTGACGCGGCAGCCAGAGGGCCAGCATACCTTGGATACACCTGTTCCAGCCACTTGCTTAAGGTGAGCAGCACTTTCATTTCGTTCCTCAGCGTCTGTTCGCTATTTAAACACTGCAGCAAGTAGACATAGAGAGTCAAGTAACTGCCCAGGGACAGGCACTCCTGCAGAAATTCTTCGATGGTGAGCTCAGGAACTTGAAGGGACACCAGGATGGGGCCCCATCCTAAATTCTGATTGAGGGAGCCTAAGAAAAAAAACAAAAACACCAAGAGGAGATAGCAAGATAAAAAACCCAGGTTCAAATTATTTAACTAGTCTAATGAATCTCTTCATTTTACGCTTCATGTCAAAGAAACATCGCCCACGTTGGCCCCAGAAGCCACAGGAGTGAGATGTGCCTCGCAGCTTAGGCTGGGAGCCCTCAGGCTCAATGCCTGTGCCCTGGTAGAGGGTTAAGAAATCAGGATTGAGTGCTGCATTTTTGTAAATCACCTTTTTTATCATATTATGATTAAAATCACATGTAGACACTGCCTGTCTCAGTCCTCTAAAAGTTTTAACTTTAATGCCATTTATAAGTATGTTATGAATACTCAGTGCTTTTCCAAGACAAATTATTATTACTCTATCCATTTCACAAACTGAATATAACAATGTTAATTTTAGTAACACAAACAGATATAGAACATATCCTAGTGGTTCTCAGTTCTTTGGGGGAGTGCGGGTGGGGTGACACGGTGACATGCACAGCAACTCCCATGTCGGTTCATGAGTTGCCAGGCCCTTCCTGGCATTCTTGCTAATCTCCTTCTTCCTCTCCTGTGTGCACTATGATGTGTATCTGCACGTCAGGGTTGAGAAGTGTATTCTGAGCAACTCTTCCTGACCAGCCAGGTTGTTTCCAGAATGTGAGAATTCACAAATAGAGAATAAGAAAGATAAAAGGTCGGGGTGATGGGGTGTGTGTGTGTATGTGGGGGGGGCGGTTGACCTCTTCATAATAGTTTAAAAGGTGTGACAAGAAGCAATAAAAAAACTCTATGAAAACTAAATTGAACAAGTGACAAAAAAACAGAGAAAATGAATATAGTGGGCCATTTTTATCCAGACTCTGGCGTACAGCATTTGATTTGGAAACCATAACTAGGCCTGTGGCATACACGATTTGCCACAATAAAAAGGTTGGTCTATACTCCGAAACCAATGTCATGTGAATTAGACGTTCCCTCCCTTGAAACGTGATTGTATCGACAGACACAGGTCATAGGCTCTCATGCTAAAGAAACGTGATTGTATCGACAGACACAGGTCATAGGCTCTCATGCTAAGTGCAGATCTTTAGAAAATAACAAGATACATTCTTGAAACAACAGCATTTACAGAGAGCAGGAGATGGCCGTCCCCTGACCTTCGTTGAAGTAGGCAGTGATGCAGGCTTCCGTTGTCTCCGCCATGTGGCGGACGGATGCCAGGCTCTGGCAGGCTGCTGTCAGGAGGGGCAGCACCGCCAGCCCTTGCACTTTCTGCTCGATCCAGGCCCGGACACTGCCCCGGAGGAACTCTGCCGTGGGAACAGTCGCGTTGTTCATCATCATCAGGACTTCCATAAACAGGCCGCTGAGGGCCATGTGGCGGGTCTGGCTGTCCATGTCTGCAGGGGACACAGACACACACTCAGGACAGGGTGCCGGAATGGCGATATGAATGGGATCAAGGGAACAACAGGGCTTCGGTCCTAGCTGCTCTCCAGGCCCATTTGACAATTCTGGGCCTGATCTCGAGACCAGAAGGAAGACTCTGGGTGGTATTTAGCTTTGCAAGACAAGCTGCAGAACCTAAGTACTTTGTAAGAGCAACACAGGGACTACTGCAAGATCCCTGGTTACAGCAGGGTGGCAGAGCAATACTTAAATAAACAAGCAGCTCAAGCTGGCGCGAAAGAGTGATGTATTTATCAGAACATGCTTAATTATTCGTTATTTTCCAGCCTTTGCTCATTTGGAAAACCAAATACACAGATATCAGTAGTCATTTGGGAAACTAATTAGAAACAGTACCTCCATCCCCACCACTGCCAAAGCTGTCAATTCTAGAGGGATTTACACAGGATAGTTGTTTAAAATGAAATATAAAAGGAAGGAGGAAAAACCTTTTTCAAGGCTCCTAATAGCAGCTTTTATTTATTTATTCATTTTAAATAAGAAAAACAGACACATGGGTAATATAAATGGGTCTTTCCAAAAAATTCAGATGTGAAAAGAGGATACTACACAAGAAAAAGAGCAANGGGTCCCTCTGGCAAATTGTTCACAGTGCACAGGCAGCCTCCGGCTTGGCCTCCAGATAAAGCAGCTGTTCTAGGGGCAAAAGGGGAGGGGACTGCCCTTGACCATCAGCAGACCCCCTAGGCTGGCCTTGGAGCCTGGGGTGGAGCAGAGCCACCTGTCCTCCTTAACCGACCCTCTCAAAGCACTCAGGCTCTGTAGGTGACAAGCAAGGGTGAGCGCCATGAGCAACAGGCTCAGTCAGCACAGTGCCCTGGGGCCCCGGAGTCATGGAGAGAAGTGACCTTGGAGACCTGGTGTCTTCCAGACAGGACTTCCCAGTGTGGCACAGGACGCAAAGCCATAGCCTTCCCTTGCTTGGTAGTGCACTGACCTGGGAACATGAGCCCATTTGTTCATTCCGAGGGGTTTCGGACAACCCACAGACTTCCCTCCACTTTCAGCTGCGCACCGGCCTGCTGAAGGGGGGCTGCAAGAGGCAGCGGCAACAACTGCCAGGTGCATGCCCAGATCCACCAAGAGCCCAGCACACTCTCCCGGCCCTCCAGGAGCTAATGTAACAGTGAAACTAACACGGTAACACTCATAAGCTCAATTTTAAATCAAGAGGTCGCTACATGAAAACACACTGTCCAAGAGAGAATCTGCGCTGAAGGTAGGCCCTGCCCTGGGATGGCACTGGCACTCGGTAGAGCTGTTGTCACACAGATCCCCCTTCCCAGACTGGATGAGACAAGGTCCCTACCTTCAACCACAGGGACCTTAGAGACCAAGAGTTAGGGGACCTGGGCCTGTTCCACCTTCAGCCCTGGCCACGTAGGACCAGTCCCTCCCCCTCCACAATTACCGCTCCTCCCATGTGTACCTCACCTTTCCAGGGCCCCTTGTGATCCTGAACACCCCTTCCCTTCCATGATCTCAGGTAGTTCTCACTAAAAACCTGGGAGACGGAAAAGGCTTCAATTATCCTCATTTCAAAATGAGGGAAAAGTCTCAGGGAGGAAAGTGATCTGGCCAGTATCACACATGTTTTGACCTTCCCACCAGACTTCGGCCCATTCAAGATGCGCCTTACAAAAGTCAATGAAAATGAACACTAGGAAGA